CCCCAAAACCCCAAAACCCCAAAACCCCAAAACCCCAAAACCCCTCTTTCCATCTCCAAAATAGAAATTATTGTATAATGTGGTGTCAACCTTGTGATAAACATAAAACCCTGGGCATAACAAGTTTCTGATATTAGCAACTGATCCTGTAGTATCTAATTGCAATTACCAAGATCCTTTGATTTCATCATGATCGATGCAGTCTAAGAAGTCATGTTTGAATATTGAATCATCTCTTTCCATCTGTTCTATCTTATCCTTGAATTCCGCCTTCCTGAAGTGTTAATATTTTGAAAGACTGATGCATCTTCTTTAGAAAGACCTACAAAAGCTACATTCCTTCTCACTTCTTGTCAGGAATAAATTTAAGGGATCCCTCAGGAACAAGATGGCATTGCTTTTTAATATCTCCAACTACATAAGCTAGTCTATCTAGCTAATGATGCTATTAGCTTTATTGCTGAGGATAAAAGCTCCATTTTAAAATGTGTAACTAGTTTTTCCTCTTCGCTTTCTCCATCCTTCAATATTTTGCTATGCTTTCTAGTGAATAATTCATTGAATTTCTTAACAATCTGAGCTGTTTTGCCACAAATAGTTGGCATTGATGCAAAGTTCCAGTTGGTTGAGGAATACCAGTAGAAAGTCTTTGAAACAAACTTATTCTCTCCGTTGAAATTTATTCCTAATGTAATAAAGTAGTCTTTGACAGTTCCTATATAGCTTCATTAATACATTATTTTGAATTTAGATCTCTTATGTTGACCAAAATGTCTTAAACTTACCGTTAATCTTCCCCTAAAGAAGTACTTCGTCACGAAGAGACTCATTGTTAATCTTTAAAAGACAAGTTCGAGTTGTGACATAAATTAGACATAATTTCTCAAGAGAAGGGTGGGTATCCATCCCAGCTGAGAATATTCAAAGTGCTTTCTTCTCTTCAATATTTAAAGAGATGCAATGATAAGCAAAGCATTTGAGGCTTGAACCAATGCCTGTTACAGTAATTTTTAATCTTCAAGATCAGTGTATGTTCATTGTTCCTATGACTGCACTTAAATCAATTTAAACTTAATTTAAAGGGGTTTTGGGGTTTTGGGGTTTTGGGGTTTTGGGG